ATTCACTATGTAAGAACTTGTTCACCATGTAAGAACTTGTTCATTATGCTTCAGAAGATTGGAGACTATTGAGAATTAGGCTTGGGGTTGATTAATGATTGTGCATTGAGTCCCCTATACAGAATTTTATTGTTGTTAACAACCATATGATCAATAAATATGAGAGATGCCTTCTCAAAAAAAAAAACACCAATGGAATCATAAAGTTCTCCTCTTCAAATAATTTTAGTACAAAGGCATAAAAAATGCATACAACCTACCTAAATGGGTCTCGGTACTTTCCCTTAATTCTTTGTACTAGCCTAAAACCACAGTGAAAGAGTTAGACTTACTTTGAAAAGAGGAAGAAAATCAGAATTTCTCCAGTTGAGCAAGAACATTATTGGAGCCTAAAGCAATCAAGATATCCAAAAACTCTTTTAACAAAAATTACTTTTTGGAAATGCTCTTCTGTTTCCCTAAACTTCATAGAACCAGACAATATCAATGAAAAATTTTTAACATATTTTGATAAATAAATAGCCTCAAAAATATCTGTAACATTAAAGGCAGAGTACATTCTTTAAATTAATACAAATCTCAAATCAGTAATTTAGATTCACTTTTCCAGAAGGTACAAACATTTCAATTGAGACTCAGAGTTTTCTCACATTTATAAAGAAAACTTGCTAAGCAGAGAAAAATATAAACCAGATTTCAAGAAAAAAACGTTCACTTCAATGAGAATGAAAGTCATTTCAAGCACCCATAAGTACTTTAGCAGCATTTATATACTAGGAATATTTCAGAAATATAGTAATAGATGTAGATGTCAACAAAAAGCAGAAGAAAATTATTTACTTAATCAATAGCCATTTATATAAGTCACTCTGTTTCTTTAGCATCCACTCTTACCCAGTTATTGAAACTAGTCTCTAAAGAGGGAAATAATGAGTTGAAGTGACTTCACAATATACCTAAAGTTGTCTTTTGCACTTAACATAGGTCAACAATATGGTGTTCCACAGTTTAATCTTGCCCCAACATGTGTTTTATCTTAAAAACTATTTTTTCCGTTGGGTTTGGAAAGGGTGACACGTGTAGTTCATTTTGCTTCAATCCCATCATCTCACTCTAGGAGTTTTTCCCTTTTATGTTATGTGCTCAGTCTCTCAAGGCTTTTTCTTCTCGAAGCCTAAATTTAAAATTCTGCCCAATTTGAATGTTCACTAAATTGTTCTTTCCTTACAGTCACAGACACTGGAATTGTTAGAATTGGAAGGTATCTTACAGGTTACCTAACTCGTCTCATTTCATCCAACATGATATCAGAGGCCAAGAAAACGAAAGCAGCTTTCCCATGGTTAGATGTGTATTAATAGTTCCGCCAAAATGCTCTTCTAACTCAACAGCTTAAAAACACTCCCATTCTGAAGTTTCATGTTCTGTGAAGTCCCCACCCTTCTCGCATCTGTAAAAGCAGTGTTGGCCTCGTGAGCACTTACCCCTGAGTGCAGGGAGCAGGGATCTCTCCTTCTTGTCGTCACATTTGTTACATTCACTGAAGTACAGGAGTAAGAAGACATCGACAAGGACCCACATCAGTGAAGTGGCTAGAACCACCTTACAGTAAACAAATCTCCTCATGTCTTCCCTGGGTTTCTAGTTAACACAAAGATTGAAGACAGACGCTGCTTTGATAAATCCACGCCACAGGGGTGAACTCCAGGATAAATGCAGAATGCATCCCACTGTATTAAAAAAAAAAAAAGAAATTTTCATTATTGTATAGTTTGTTTTGCATATGTAGATATAATGTGAACTATATGACTTACTTAATGTGCCTACAAATATCAGTACTTGGTCTTCAAGATCAGAATCAAAAGCCCAAAGTGAAAATTATAAGCAGGCCAAGTTGGGTAAAAGTCTAACGGCTAATCTTAGATCGGTCATTATTCTGCTAGACCCTTGACAACTATTTGTTTCTTGAAGTTGTATTGTCTTTCCCTCTAAGTCCTATCATAATTATGTAGAGAACCAGGTTGTCAAATAATGCAGCTCTGAATTTACCCCGATTCAGCACTTCTGAGGTTCCAGTACTGCTGATAGGAGGCATCTTAGGATATCATATATCGTAGTGGCTAAGAACTGGCCTTTTACACACATAGGCCTGGGTCTATTCCCTTGCTGTCTGTGGGATCCTTGTAAGCCATGGTTTTCTCATCTATAAAATGAGAATAACAATCCCAAACCTAAAGATTTGCTATGAGGACTAAGTATGATAATGCTTAAAAAGTATCTTGCAGAACAGATAGTTATTAATATTGATATGAAATTTTTAAAATTCTCAGATTCTCAAAAAGGCAATTACGTGAAATAAGTCATCAATTATGTAGCATTAAAAACTCCATCTGGTGTGCACAAAATGTATTCACAACAGATGTGTATTTTAGAATGGGCAGCATACATTCAAAGAAATTATCAGAAGAGAAAAAAGTATATAGTGTAAAGTGACTCAAAATAACCAAAGCATGAATTCTAAAAGGCATAACAGACATGTGTATAATTATAAAGAGATATGCAAAGTCAGTTTAGAATTAATACCATAAACATTTGTTTTATTTAAACTACACTGAGCAATAACTACCTGGTTAATCCATTTCTATCTGTAGAGTAAATATATCAAACCAAGAATATTCTTATATCATTTGCTACATTTAAAATAGTATGATGTGAAGTATAAATTATTGTTGTGAATAAGACAGGTAATATAGTTTGGACAAATATTTGGGGAGAACAGCTATTAAATACAAAGATACTTGAAACATCTCATAAACACTTGTCTCAAAATAAAAACAGCAAAGTATAATTTGCTGAGGCAGAAGCTCTTTAAATTAATGACCTGACTTTGCATCATAAAACAACACAAATCCTGTTGCCTGTTACAAGTTAAGCAGACTAGTAAGAAATACAAAATTTACATACAGTGTCAATTAAAAAATTAGTTTAACACAGTCTACTTTCAAATCTACATTATATTTATATTTATTCGGCATGCATTTTTTTAAAGATGCAAAATGTGCAAATCTAAAGACATTGAGTTTTGTTTGCTTGTTATGTTTTTTGAAAAAAGTCATGCTAATTTCTTAATTTCATATTGACTTCATTTTTTCTGTAAAAGAAAATTATAACTAAATATTGGAACTCAGGGAAGAATAGCAAGGGAGGAATTCCCCTACATATATTTCCTCTTACTTTTTGCAAGCTTTACTGAATATGAGGTATGAAATAATTCAAGCTATCAAATTTTCTGTCATTCTTTGGTCCTAAGATGAAGCTTATTGTAGGAAAAAGACCCATGGAAAATTATATATAATACTGATTGTTACTGAAGGACTATCCACAGATAGAAAGAATACTTTAAAACAAAAGATCATATAATAAAATATCTAAATCTTATATAATAAAGATTTATAATAAAAGACAAATGGCACCATCCATAAAATGAAAGCATGACTTTTTCAGACAGGCATTTGCCCCTCTGTGTTTTATTTTCTTTACTTATATTTCCTGCCCTATCTACCTCACAAAATATGTGAGGCTTAAGCAAGATAAAAATGAGAATAATTTTAAAAGAAAATATGAAGAATATTATTATAATAGAAAATCTGAAGTCACTTAATATTAAATATTAAACTAAGATAAGTCATTTCCTAATTAACAGCCTAACAGTCGAAGTTAATCAGAATTTAACATAAACTTTAATAGAACGTGAAAATCACATCTCCTTGTCACTTCAAGCATTATTCAAATTATTCTAATTTCATAGCCTGCTAAACCTATATATCAAGACATTAGCACTGAGAGAAGTCTTTTACCATTTTATGTGACAAAATGAAGTTGCCTTTTAAATTTTTGTTTATGAGTCTTTCTTCACATATTTCAAGTTTTTAATTCTATCTCTACCTTGAAAACATACTAAATTTTATCATTTATAAGAGCCTTACCTGCCGACACCTGTAAAATAGTAACAGTGCGTTACAATGCTCTTCATGAGAAAAGAACTGATGGAGCAGAAGGTTGGTACAACATAACACGGTAACACTAACCAGCACAAGCACAGTTGGCGGCCCAGGTTTATTTAAGAGAGTCAGCATCTGTATTATGTTTTTATTCCAGTTAGCCCCTATTTGTGTGCAAACACTGCTCTGTTTCTCAAACCAATTCCAAGTTCTGCAATATCCCTGGCTTGCCAAGCCCATGTGGAACATGACCAACTTGCATAAACTACAGGCTTTTCTATCTGGAAATCTGGCTCCTTTTTCTAATTGTTTCAAAGTCTTGAGAGTATAGTTATTTCCCTCTTTAAAAATATTTCTGCAGCTAGGAAGGCTTCAAGAGTTAGAAAACGATCAAGTACCATCTTGCTAGTCAATGCCTTTTGTCTTGTCCACTCAATAATGGTATTAGCCACATATTCTATGTAATATTACAAGATTTTTGTTTGAAGCTATGCACCATTTTTTCTTATCTTTATCAAAAATAGACTTCATATATAAAAAATAAAATCTATGTAAGGCTTAGAAGTTTGGTAAATATGTTATTAAAATAAGAAGAAAAAAGTTTTTGTTTTAAATGAGGAGGTTACCACTTGCACAGGGAGTCTAGTTCAGCTGCTATTAGACATATTTTTATCTATAGTCATATTTTTCTTTTGTAGAAAACTGCATAATAGGTGCAAATGTATTCGGTCTATTTTATGAGGCTGTATGGGAGGCTGCCAGAGGATCCTGGAACTAGTATAAGACTGCTGGTAGTGCTCCCAGAAGTTGCAGGCACCCAACATGCTTTAAATGTTTTAAATAGCTACACAGTAGCTTCTGTGAGCTGATGACTGGACAATTTCAAAAAGCTGGTTTATGGACTGATAAATCTAGTAAGCAGGCACTGAAAAAAAAAACCTCTCAATAAGCTACAAGTCTGATTGATAGGAAGACTGATCTTTTAATGAGGACCCAAAATTAAGGTAGACTTGGGGGCCACCCTCAACCTAAACCACAGGGTTCACCATATACCCACACCACACTGGAAGATACACCAGGAGAGAAAGAAGCAGGAAAGGAAAATGTTAAATGAACGCCTATGAGGAAAGATGGTGGAACAGAGGCAAAAATATATGCCCTTACTTGCATAAAGTTTGAATATTCATAACATAAAACTTGACTTTTAGGAGGCTACCTAGCATAAGATCTAAAAACATATACTGCAGAGTTATAATGCCATGATTTGAATCTGGGCTCTAATACTCCCTAACGGTATGGTTCCATTCAAGTTCCTTAAATCTTCTATGCCTCTGTTTTCTTATTCACAAAACATGAACAACAATAGCTACTGCAAAGTCCATGATGGGTACTGAATGAATCAATGCATGCAAAGCTCTTCAAACAGTACCTGGGACTTAGGTGTGGCTCAGTACACATAGTTACTATTAGTAGTAACAGTAATATAATTATCATGATGAACGTCACTGAAAGGATGAGAAGAATGCGAATCCTCAGCCCATCCTACCAGAAGCATATTCAGTATATGTGTATTCAGGTAGTAGGAGGGACAAGATGAACATCACAACCATATTTAATATTCACAAATACATTTAATATAAATCACACATGTATTTAGTATTAATATTTGAGAGCATTACAAATATATATTCACAAATATTAATGCATATAGTTTTTGATGGGTTACGAGTTACACAGGATCTTAGAATTGCCAAAACTCATTGAACTATCCACTGAAGATCTATGCACATCTTTATACAATTGTGTGTAAATTAAACCTCATTTTTTTAAAGCAAAAACAAAATGTTAATGTATGTATCATTTGATTCCCTGATAAATACCTTTCTGATCTCTTTCCCACCATTGTTCCCCAAGCAGCGACTTGGGTCTTGAGTCTGACTTGGGTCTTCCTTACAGATACCAATCATTACCATGCCTTGGGGTGTGTGCACCTGCTGTTTTCTCTGCCCACTGACATGGTCATGGCCTTCTGTCTCATTTCCAAGATCTTACTTCATTCCTGCTCAAATGTCAAACATTGGAGAGCTTTCCTATCAACCTATATAAAATAACACACACAACTTAGTCACCCATTATTTCTTAACTCATTTTATTTTTTTTTCTTTGAACCTATCATCCCACCAATACATTAACAAATTAATTGTTTTTTTTAATTTGGTTATTATCTGTCACTCTTTCCTAAATAGTGAACTACTTCAGTACAGGATTTCACATCTCTTACACATGCCCTCTGTCCTATATATGTAAGTTTTTAGAACTCCAGCACTCATTGTTATGGCCTGAATTGGGCCCCTCACACCCCCCAAAAAATTCATATGTGAAGTCCTAACCCCCAATATTTTAGATTGTGACTGTATTTAAAAAGACAGGGCCTTTTTAAAGAGGTGATTAAGATTAAAACAAGGTCATATGGCGGGTTACCTTATAAGAAGAGGTTATTAGGACAAACATACACAGAGGAAAGACCATGTGAAGACAGAGAAGCCAGCCATCCATACAACACAGGGCGAGGACTCAGAATGAAACCAACTCTGCTTGCTGACTTTGGACTTCTAAAATCTATGAGAAAATACATTTCTGTTGTTTAAGCCAACCACTCTGGGATACTTTGTGATGGCAGCCCCAGCAAACAAATGCCCTGGCTATATCCATTTTCCCTTACTCCGCTC